AACCATCCTACCATAACACAAGTACAGTATCCCCACCCTACATCAACTTTAGGTATGGGCCCCAGTGACATACCACACCCCAAACGTAATCACACCCTCACAGTACCCTTACCAAAGAGTGGCCCCAACACAGAGTAACCATCCTACCATAACACAAGTACAGTATCCCCACCCTAAATCAACTGTAGGTATGGGCCCCAGTGACATACCCCACCCCAAAAGTAATCATACCCTCACAGTACCCTTACCAAAGAGTAGCCCCAACACAGAGTAACCATCCTACCATAACACAAGTACAGTAACCCCACCCTACATCAACTGTAGGTATGGGCCCCCAGTGACATACCACACCCCAAAAGTAATCATACCCTCACAGTATCCTTACCAAAGAGTAGCCCCAACACAGAGTAACCATCCTACCATCACACAAGTACAGTATCCCCACCCTACATCAACTGTAGGTATGGGCCCCAGTGACATACCACACCCCAAAAGTAATCACACCCTCACAGTACCCTTACCAAAGAGTAGCCCCAACACAGAGTAACCATCTTACCATAACACAAGTACAGTAACCCCACCCTGCATTAATCTGCATCTATGGACCCCAGTGACATTATATTACTCCAATATGTTGATCACAAAACATCTAAATGAATTTTTTGTCCATACTATAATTGAATGACAGAAATGTACATTTGTGCCGGACACAGAGTTGTTGTCACATTCTGTGCAGATATTTTAAGACATTGTTATGGCTGCTGCTATAAATGATAATATGACATAACAAAAAATCAATACCTATACATGTATTATATGAAAACAATATTGGCAGAGTCACAAGAGCTAATTTATTCAGAAGGAATTTCTTTGATTACATTCTGTAATTATAGCTGTACATCTGTGACCTACCTGAGAATGCGGAGGAAACAATTGCAAGGCTAATGTAGAAATGACTTCCTCAGGATTGATCTAGTTGTCTAACAATAAAAACTTGGATTTGAATAGGAAAGAAAGTTGTTTTCACAGAAAATAATTGTATGCCTTAATCCTAAAATCATTACTGATTGATATATGTGACTGATGCTGGGGAATTAATGTATTAAGTACTGGGTGTAGAGACGGACATGAAGCTTTGTATATATTACAAAATCCATGACAGCTGCGTACAATTAACAAGTTTAGAGGGAACAACATATGGGGATAATCATTTGATGGAATTAATGTCCCATGTGTGGAAATCAATATCGCGCCAGTAATCAATGTTCCTGCTATAATGAATATGCGGGGTAACAAATGTTACAAACATTTCAATATAAAGTCGTTTGATGCAGTACATCTGTGTATTCTTATGCTAATGTGAATAGCAAAATTTAATTTACATCTCCCCCCCCCCCCCCCCCCCGATAAATTCTAGAAATGTTCAACTGGCTTATTTATTGAGGAGGTTTTGTGCTTGCGATATGTCAGTGGTATATTATACAAGGTGAAAATAAGTAATTAAAATTTTGTCGTTTGAAGTCTGAAGAAATTTATGAAAGTGTTAATTCTGTTATGGATATTACACATCAGACTGTAAATTCCATATAACAGCCATGTACGTGAAAGTATTCCGAGATTGTAAATAGTTTGGCAGCCGAGCAGAATGTGTATAATTAGCTAGACATGGCCCAGTCATTAATTAGTTTGCGATATTATAGTAAAAATCAATAAGGCTATCCCCAGGAGTTTATTGTTTATTGTGGCTGATTTTTCAGACAAAACAAAAAGCTAAGGTTACTGTTATATAGATATGTATACATGTACACCAAGTTTTAGCCTGCCGAGATATTCTAACCCAAAATTAGTTTTATTGTCAAGGCAGTAATGTGTGATCATGATTTATAAATATCTCATGGACAATTAGCCAATTAATCTCATCATGGTAGAAAATCATTATTGTGCAAAGCGATATCTGATTTTGTCGAAGCGAGTATGGAACCTTCAATGGCGTGTTTAGTTTTCCAGTAAACAGTGGTGCCTATTTCTAGCATAATGAGATATAATTGTGATGTGTCAACAATATTAGGAAAACAATCAATACATTTAGTTATCAGTAAAACACAGGAAATGATTAAATTAAAAATAAAATCGGTGACTTAAAGTGATTCACAATTCTTCAAAAGATAATGAAGAAATGACTGAATCACTATTTTATAGTGAGAATTTTTTACTTTTTTCTAAATTTAATATAGTTAAATTCATATATCACACATTAGTAATTTCCTATGTAATTTTGACATAAATATGTATCAACAACAAATGTTGTGTTTTTTCAGAGGTTTATGCTGCTCCTGACAGCTCTGTTTTCTTTTGTATTTTCCAATATGTAGCAAATAAATTACCGTCATCAAAAAATCATTTTTTTTACAGATTTCTTAGTGAAGGAAGGAAATATATTTTACATGTCACAAAAATGTAGCCTACATCCTTCAGGAGATACATAGTAAATGTCACAGTAAGGTAGCCTACATCCTTAAGGTGATACATTGTAAATGTCACAGTAAGGTAGCATACCTCCTTAAATACATTGGAAATGTCACAGTAAGGTAGAATACCGCCTTAAGGAGATACATAATAAATGTCACAATAAAGTAGCATACATCCTTAAGTTTATACATTGTAAATGTCACAGTAAGGTAGCAAACCTCCTTATGGTGATACATTGTAAATGTGTCAGTTAGGTAACATACATCCTTAAGGTGATACATTGTAAATGTCACAATAAGGTAGCATACCTCCTTAAGGAGATACAAAGTAAATGTCACAGTAAGGTAGCATACTTCCTTTAAATGATACATTGTAAATGTCACAATAAGGTAGCATACATCCTTTAAGTGATACATTGTAAATGTCACAATAAGGTAGCATACATCCTTAAGGAGATATATTGCAAATGTCACAGTAAGGTAGCATACCTCCTTAAGGATATATATTGTAAATGTCACAATAAGGTAGCATAGATCCTTAAGGAGATATATTGCAAATGTCACAGTAGGGTAGCATACTTCCTAAAGGAGATATGTTGCAAATGTCACAGTAAGGTAGCATACTTCCTAAAGGAGATATGTTGCAAATGTCACAGTAAGGTAGCACACTTCCTAAAGGAGATATATTGCAAATGTCACAGTAAGGTAGCATACCTCCTTAAGGAGATATGTTGTAAATGTCACAGTAAGGTAGCATACCTCCTTAAGGATATATATTGTAAATGTCACAATAAGGTAGCATACCTCCTTAAGGAGATACATTGTAAATGTCTCAGTTAGGTAGCATACCTCCTTAAGGTGATGCATTGCAAATGTCACAGTAAGGTAGCAAACCTCCTTATGGTGATACATTGTAAGTGTCACAATAAGGTAGCATACCTCCTTAAGGAGATATGTTGTGAATGTCACAGTAAGGTAGCATACCTCCTTAAGGAGATATGTTGTAAATGTCACAGTAAGGTAGCATACCTCCTTAAGGAGGTATATTGTAAATGGCACAGTAAGGTAGCATACCTCCTTAAGGAGGTATATTGTAAATGGCACAGTAAGGTAGCATACCTCCTTAAGGAGATATGTTGTAGATGTCACAGTAAGGTAGCATACCTCCTTAAGGAGATATGTTGTGAATGTCACAGTAAGGTAGCATACCTCCTTAAGGATATATATTGTAAATGTCACAATAAGGTAGCATACCTCCTTAAGGAGATATGTTGTGAATGTCACAGTAAGGTAGCATACCTCCTTAAGGAGGTATATTGTAAATGGCACAGTAAGGTAGCATACCTCCTTAAGGAGGTATATTGTAAATGGCACAGTAAGGTAGCATACCTCCTTAAGGCGATATGTTGTAAATGTCACAGTAAGGTAGCATACCTCCTTAAGGAGATACATTATAAATGTCTCAGTTAGGTAGCATACCTCCTTAAGGTGATGCATTGTAAATGTCACAGTAAGGTAGCATACCTCCTTAAGGAGATATATTGTAAATGTCACAGTAAGGTAGCATACCTCCTTAAGGAGATACATAGTAAATGTCACAAAAGGGTAGCATACATCCTTAATGTTTCTGTATTGTAAAGCTAAAATGGCTTGTTGTTAATATATTAAACAGTCAATAGTGGTTTAACAACACATGAGATGTGTGTCTAAGATCTTGGTATTGAATTATGTAAATGTCATTGCCGACTTAAAGTATCCATTAATGGTTTTCAAAGCACTTGAATATTTTTGTTCTCAAAGTCACATTATTTTTGTTCTCAAAGTCACATTACAAAACAACAATAAAAATTACCACATCAATTAATTTATGGAATAAAATCTAAAACAAGGTTAACTAATGGGCAGAAGCAATTATGCTATTTCTAAAACAATCTAGATATTCTGAATTTGGAAACTGATCCAATCTGTATAAAATGCCAATGAAGAAAGCCATTGGTTATAATCAGCAATAGGCTAAAAAGTTTTGAGATTGCATGTGGCTTAATACAAATGAAGGTTGAGGTCATTTTGCAAAGCTAATGAAGGTCAAAGTCATCAGATAATTACCTTAATTTTGTATGTGCATGTCTTGAAAACCAAGTGGGGTAAAGTTATATTGTATATAGAAAAAGAAAAATGCATTTAATTGTTCTATTAGAGATGAATAAAAATTCCAATTCATTAAGTTTTTTAGGGATAAGAGAAGATAAAAGTTTGAAATATTTAAATGCTGAGCTTAATTTGAGTTTGTGCGATAATTAAGACCGGCCCAGTAGTACATATTGAGGTGGTATACACAGGGGTAATTAGGACAAAGACAGCATGGCATTGCATGCTAGACGTGACCCATAGCATGCTACCATATATTTATTTTCATTCTATCTCCAAAAAACTTGTTTTAGACACTCAAGTAAACAATTAGATTCAAACTCCACTCATTATTTACACAATAACATCAATAAAAGAGCCTAATTGCCTTTTCTGCTTTTACAGATTTTTCAACTCAAGTCCGTCTTGTTGCCAGGGAGATTTCCAGAAGGATTTACATATAGTACATGGTACGTCTGCATGCCCTTTGACTTTACTCACTTACATTTTACTTTGACATTCCTCTGATGCTTAATTCATGAATACTTCACAATAACACGTGTCAGATAATTGGCGAAATCATTTGAATTAAACCGTCTCGCATTCCTTTTCAAGATAGATTTGTAACAAAGACGCTGCATGTGCTACTCTATAGATCAGGTGAACTCTTGTCAGGGATACAGTTTGCTATGTCTTACTGTTGATCCCAATAAGGCATTACTACTTGGGCTGTAACTGTACGCTCCAGGTCAATCAGTGTTGTATACAACATGATCAGGATATTTTGTCTGGAGTCTATTAGAATAAATGACTTTATCCATGTTTAAAGGTCAAGGTCAAATTTGTTGTATCTGTAAAAAAAACTTCTACAGAACTATGAGGCCTTGAATCATATTCTGTCCAAACTTGCTGGGTTAGAGGGCTGTAGAATGTCTTCATATGCATGATGTTTCCTTTTCATCATGTTGTTTTTAGGAATCATGTTACCCAGTTAAAATACTAACTGCTTCCAACCAACTGGGCTATGGAGGAATATTGACAAATGTACAGAGTGATACTTTAACAAGAATTGTTATGACCCCTGGAAAAATCCAGACAATCTTTTTCCTGGAGGGGGAGTATGCCACCCTCAGGCTAGTAAAAATCTAGCTGCTTCCTAATGACTCTACTATAGCAAATTTCTCTTTAGCTCATTTGGTAGAGTATATAAGACTAGTAAACAGAGGTCCCAAATTAAACTCCTCATGGAGGCATTGAACAAATAATGATCTCTGTGACTTAGCGGTGAGAGATGATGAACCCTTTATATTTAGTCCTCAAATACCATCAGATGGTGGGCAGTTCAAATTGTCTTTTGTCTGTAGTCGATGATCTGTTCATCCTTCAACAATTATTGTTATCACTATTTTTTCAAGAAGCACCAGATGGACCAAAAAGAGGATAGAACTTGAATATGAGTTTAACCTTGCCATAACCTTATAGTGAATTGCTAGGCATGAGGAGACAAATATCAACAATGTTACAGGATTGGCTCAGGGTCCACCCCCATCCTTTAGGACTTAGTCCCTTGGTCATTACAAGGAAACAGTTGAGATCTCTACCTTGTAACCTATATGCTGAATATGAAGAGGAATATATGAAATGCTAAGGATGGTGATATGTGACCAGAAGCATGCTCAGATGAAGTCTCAGGTTTCAAGTTTGTTCATATGAATGACATTGACACACTTTCAAGGTCACATCTGGTCAATTGTGTATAAACATTTAAAAAACATCTTTTCAAGAAACAAAATGTCAAGGGTGGTGATATATGGCAAGTTGCATTCTGGGATTAAGGGCTATAAAAGTAGCTAAATGTCCTTGTTTTACATTTCAAGGTCACATCAAGGTTAAATCTTTTAACAGGTTCTTTGAATGACTTTGAGCCAGATATACTCATATTCTGTCTGTAGCTTTTAAGGTTACAAGTGTGATATTGATACCAGTTGATCAATTCAAGCCCATTGGGCATCTTGTTTTTGGGAGTACCCATCAAAATGGATAAATTTCATTGTCATTGATCAACTTCTACAACATCCCAGCCATTTGTTTAGTTTTAAACTGATAGGGGATTACATTGCTATCTTTTTGTTACATGTTCACAAGCAAAATTGTTATCATTTTGTTTTCTCGCATCGGTATTTCTCCTCTGGAACTTTCGTCATGTCCAAGATTACTTACACATTATTTGTACATGTGAGTAAACAAGATGACCTTGGTTTAAAGCATTGTTATGTCCTGTGGTTTGATTTCATGATCCAAACTTCATGTATAAGTTTATTGCTGGCTTAACTGCCAATGCTGCCAACAGCCCTTGCTGGCTTAACTGCCAATGCTGCCAACAGACCTTGTTGGCTTAACTGCCAATGCTGCAAACAGCCCTTCCTGTCTTACCTGCCAATGCTGCCAACAGCCCTTGTGGGCTTAACTGCCTATGATGCCAACAGCCCTTGTTAGCTTAACTGCCAATGCTGCCAACAGCCTTTGTTGGCTTAACTGCCAATGCTGCCAAAAGCCCTTGTTGGCTTAACTGCCAATGCTGCAAACAGCCCTTGTGGCTTAACTGCCAATGATGCCAACAGCCCTTGCTGGCTTAACTGCCAATGATGCCAACAGCCCTTGCTGGCTTAACTGCCAATGATGCCAACAGCCCTTGCTGGCTTAACTGCCAATGATGCCAACAGCCCTTGCTGGCTTAACTGCCAATGCTCCCAACAGCCCTTGTTGGCTTAACTGCCGATGCTGCCAACAGCCCTTGTTGGCTTAACTTCCAATGCTGCCAACAGCCCTTGTTGGCTAAACTGCCAATGCTGCCAAAAGCCCTTGTTGGCTTAACTGCCAATGCTTCCAACAGCCCGTGCTGGCTTAACTGCCAATGCTGCCAACAACCCTTGCTGGCTTAACTGCCAATGCTGCCAACAACCCTTGCTGGCTTAACTGCCAATGCTGACAACAGCCCTTGCTGGCTAAACTGCCAATGCTGTCACCAGCCCTTGTTGGCTTAACTGCCAATGATGCCAACAGCCCTTGCTGGCTTAACTGCCTATGATGCCAACAGCCCTTGTTGGTTTAACTGCCTATGATGCCAACAGCCCTTGTTAGCTTAACTGCCAATGCTGCCAACAGCCTTTGTTGGCTTAACTGCCAATGCTGCCAACGGCCCTTGTTGGCTTAACTGCCAATGCTGCAAACAGCCCTTCCTGTCTTACCTGCCAATGCTGCCAACAGCCCTTGTTGGCTAAACTGCCAATGCTGCCAACAGACCTTGTTGGCTTAACTGCCAATGCTGCAAACAGCCCTTGTGGCTTAACTGCCAATGATGCCAACAGCCCTTGCTGGCTTAACTGCCTATGATGCCAACAGCCCTTGTTGTCTTAACTGCCAATGCTGCCAACAGCCCTCGTTGGCTTAACTGCCAATGCTGCCAACAGACCTTGTTGGCTTAACTGCCAATGCTGCCAAAAGCCCTTGTTGGCTTAACTGCCTATGAAGCCAACAGCCCTTGTTGGCTTAACTGCCTATTATGCCAACAGCCCTTGTTGGCTTAACTGCAAATGCTGCCAGCAGCCCTCACTTGCTTAACTACCTATGATGCCAACAGCCCTCGCTGGCCTATTGCTGGCTTAACTGCCAATGCTGCCATCAGCCCTTGTTGGCTTAACTGACAATGCTGCCAACAGCCCTTGTGGCTTAACCGCCAATGCTGCCAACAGCCCTTGTTGGATTAACTGCCAATGCTGCCAACAGCCCTCGTTGGCTTAACTGCCAATGCTGCCAACGGCCCTTGTTGGCTTAACTGCCAATGCTGCAAACAGCCCTTGTGGCTTAACTGCCAATGATGCCAACAGCCCTTGCTGGCTAAACTGCTGGTTTAAAGCATTGTTATGTCCTGTGGTTTGATTTGATGATCCAAACTTCATGTATAAGTTTATTGCTGGCTTAACTGCCAATGCTGCCATCAGCCCTTGTTGGCTTAACTGACAATGCTGCCAACAGCCCTTGTGGCTTAACCGCCAATGCTGCCAACAGCCCTTGTTGGATTAACTGCCAATGCTGCCAACAGCCCTCGTTGGCTTAACTGCCAATGCTGCCAACAGACCTTGTTGGCTTAACTGCCAATGCTGCAAACAGCCCTTCCTGTCTTACCTGCCAATGCTGCCAACAGCCCTTGTTGGATTAACTGCCAATGCTGCCAACAGCCCTTGGTGGCTTGACTGCCAATGCTGCCAACAGCCCTTGTGGGCTTAACTGCCTATGATGCCAACAGCCCTTGTTGGCTTAACTGCAAATGCTGCCAGCAGCCCTCACTTGCTTAACTACCTATGATGCCAACAGCCCTCGCTGGCCTTGGGTGAGTTCATGAAAACCTTGACTGGCCTCAACAGGTCATTAAGACTGGTCAGTTGACCAAGAAGGTCATCAATACAATGACAAAGGTGAGAGTTCAGTGGGAACAAAATTCAATTTTTGAAATTGTTTTGCTCTGTACTAAAACGTTCCAACAGCTTGTGTTGGAGCATGTAGAGTTCATTAATACTTAGGTACTAACACCCAGCAGTACCAGATAGGTAAATGAGATTGCTGAAAAATAGAAACTTTTCTTAATACAATTTGGCTAATTGCTGTTCTTTTATTCAAGCTATTGTAGGCTGTAGGACTGTAATTCCAGTACAAAAGTCACATCAAGTGCGGCCATCTTGTGCATTTAGAAGAAAAATATACCAGGGAAACCTTTTGTCTGGTTTTCTTGCATTAAATTTATTTCTAATTCCAGCCAAGTCTAAATATACATCGGCCATCACATAGAACATTCACCTGAATAATGGAAACGATTTGAAAGTAACAATTTTTGTTCTTTAAGTTTCTTTTGTGTAACTGATAATTAGAAGAATGCTACAGACTGCCTTTCATGTATTATTAAATGTTTTTGTCTTTCAGTAGGTCTCTGTGACATATCCTAAGTGACAGTTAGAAGATGAGAAAGTCAAACTTTATTTTGCCTAAAGTTTTTTTAAATCCCCAGGTCACAGAATTAGCAGAATGGCAAACACTTCCCTGAGAAGTGTGACTGATTTGAGAGCACTGTAATTCGGACGAATGTTGAATTTATGCTTTATTTAACCTGACCCGTTGTTTGCTCGCGTAGAGGTCGCAACCTATTCGTCTGGCATTAATTTCAGGACGATTCTAAGACCTATGCTTTCATTACTGGCCGGTGGTATTAATCACCAACAGCTTTGACATTACCGCTTTAGTGTGTTGTCTCCGTCGGCAGAAAGACGGAGGTTTTGGCACCTGAATCACAAGAGGGACAGATGCCGTCTTTACAGCGACATGCTTATGTTTATTTCCAATATAGCCTTCCAAATGAATTAAATCTGGAGGCAGACATGGTAGATGAGGTCTGTACAGAGTAAAGCATTAACAGGCA